CGAAAATATTGATATTTAAAAAAATTGTAAAAAATCAGTCATTTGACTTAAATAAGTGTTTTTACCATATACATTTTTTTTAAAATCAAATTTACAAATTGGCTTTATTGAATATTTCGAAAAAAWTTTTTATCAATTTTTAAGTTTTTATTTTCAGTATTAAAAAATAAAAAATGTAGCGCAAGTGTCTATGAATTATATAAGAAATTTTTTTAAAATATTGATTAGAACAAAGTTATTTCATTTGTCAGAATGTGAGATCTCTGTGGTACACCCTGTATATGTATACATAAATACTAAAGAACAAATTATAAATGATCCATATAATCCGGATGCCTGGATCAGCAAGACTACTGTAATTATAATATATTAATTATTAAGAGTGCCCAACACCCATATTAGTTGTCTCAGTCTTACAAACACGTTACATAGCAAATTTACACTCAGCAATGCACTATCATAGAAGTGAGTTATGCGTGTATAATAAATTGTAAACTAAATAAATAAATAAATACAAATTTTACAATTTATTATACACACATAACTYACTTACACACTGAATTATCATAAAATTCTTCCAATAATACGCAGATAATATTTTTGCCAACAATTTTCATAATAGGTCTATTGACTCTTAAGCTAAAAGAGTAAAATGTGTACCGCTAAGTGTAAATTTGCTATGTTACGTGTTTGTAAGACTGAGACAACTAATACAGGTGYTAYGCTCTTAATTAATCAACTCCCTATTGTAAACAATATAATATTGTTATTTGCTTTTATTTGAAAATTTTCTTGAAATTCGTTAGAATAAACTGGTTCAATATGAGCCCCTGTTATCCAGCACTGGAATAATGAACCAGGATCCAAATATCCCAAAATGTTTTTTTCATACCTCGTACCTTTTCATAGCCTAGCGGCATAGCCAATTTCTAGTTTGTAACATCATATATATAAAAATATAAAATCTCAAAGTGGATTTGAGTGATAAGAAACAAATTCTTATAACGTTAAACTTTAAAATTATGAAAAGTTACTCAAATATTATTTACAAATTATAAAAGTATATAACTAAAATAAATAACTTTTCTTAAAAGTTGAAACAATAATCTATACATACGGGAGCTTCATTCTCATAAACGTCCAACATGTGAAATATGATACAATGATGCATGCAAATCCAACACCAGTCAGAAGTGTGCGATTCAATTTTGGAGTTGATTTATTATTGGTTAAATCCAATATAACAAATCCCAAACCCCCAATGTTGAATAGAAAACTTGATGCTAAACCTTCCATGATATACTGTCCATTAACTCTGTAAGGCATAAATGCCACCTATTTAATACAATGCATTATTTAAACAATAATTACTGACAGCAAAATTCAAAAACTATGATCAAAATTTACTGGTTTTGAATGTCCTTTTTCATCTGTAGTCGAACCTACACTAGGTGGTTCTATGATGACATCATATATGATMCCTAAAGAATAATTATATGATTAAATTAAATTAAAATATATTGATAATTGTATATATTATTCATGCATTTACCTCCAGTCACTAAAAAGTATGAAATCGTTACAATCACATACATGAACATGGCAGATGGTTTCTTTAACCATGACGGTCGTTTTAAACGCAGATTTGGGACTTCAAGAACTTTAAAAGGTAAACTATATAATGATTCCATTATCAAAGCATTAACTTTCTAGTATCTTGTGTTTACTTCAGTTGTGTGTAAACTATATGCGATTCTGAATGGGCACAACATTTTAATTTTAATTACATCCAAAAATATAGCCTCGGATTCCTCAGCTAGAAATTTCAATTATTTATACCTCACAAACTCAAACCACAGTCGTGGTCACTATACATATAGTACTTAGTTGCTTCTCAGTCCGATAATTGACAATAATTGATAATTAGTGAACAAAAGCAATAAATACTAATAATTTATACGGTTATACACTTATTATCTGTAGGCCCAAGTTAATAGCAATAGGAAAAATTTAAATATTAGTATAACCTGACTACCTGAGATACTATTTTGTCATGACTGTTCTGAGAAATGAGGACCATAGAAAAGAATAACTGTGACACGGGTATGGTCATAGAACAGTAGAATAGAACCTATAGAAGCGACACTATACTACTATAGTACTATACTGCTTGGTGGTCGATCTCTGGTGGTTTAGTGTTGAAGTTGTAAATGATTACCTGGTGGTTTACAAGTATTGTTACGAACGATTTTTTTTTTACGATAACGGTTTGTTTGTTTACGTATAACCTAACCTTAACTGCTTGCGGTTATCTAACAACAATGTTATGAAATAACAACTGTTTTGCATTACACGTTCAATAATTATNGACGCGAGTGGATGTTCGTGAAAGTTACATAAAATTTCGTTTTTACGACAATTGGGTAACGCTATTAACTGTACTGTGTTCCCTTTGGACGTATGATTGTACATAAGAATATTTTCTTGATTTAAAAAGTAATTTTTCGATTTTCTTATCCATACTTGGTGGTCGATCTCTGGTGGTTTAGTGTTGAAGTTGTAAATGATTACCTGGTGGTTTACAAGTGTTGTTACGAACGATTTTTTTTTTACGATAACGGTTTGTTTGTTTACGTATAACCCACGATTTAAGATAGTACTATCTTAAATCGTGGTATAACCTAACCTTAACTGCTTGCGGTTATCTAACAACAATGTTATGAAATAACAACTGTTTTGCATTACACGTTCAATAATTATTTTAATTTTAATTATTATTAGTAATTATAATTTTAAATTATAATATAATTTATTATMATTTCTGTGATATCAAAATGGTATCAATTATCAACTATCAACAATTATCAATATAAAACTGGTTATTCCGGAGACAAGACACAGAAAATAATATGAAATGTATATATATTTATATATTTTATATATTCGTATAATCATTAATCTGTGCTCTAGATGTCATGTGTCCACTATCCGGTTATAACTTTAAAATATTCAAAAATTTTTAAAATTCATGTTAAAAGTAATAATCATACTTTAGGCTTCAACCAATTATTTCCCTTCTGAATTTATAAGGGTGCAGTAGTATTTGAAAATTATAATTAAATTGGTTTCAATAATCTTATAATATTATCAATTACTAAAAGTTAATGTTTAAATATGGTGTGTCTGCGCTCAATGACAGTTTTAGTCAATACAGGAATAAAGTTTTGCATCAATTTATAATTTGTGTAAATTATTTCTTAAACAATTCATAAACAATGTCTAAATTGTCATCAAAATTATTTAAATTATTAAAGAAGACAAGTTGTTCATTATGTTCAAAACGATACGTTAGTGTCAATGTTGAACCTGAAAATKTTGATCCTTTTAGTAAGATGCATATTATGAAGTTCATTAATCTATTTTTGAATTATTATTTTAAATACTTAATTTTTTTCACAGTGGCACCATATAGTGAGTCACCTAAAGATCAGCAGCGGTTATATGTGTGGGGTATGGCTGAACATGGCGCACTAGGTGATTTAAAAATCAGATCTAGAGAGCGTCAGATACAGTTCATATACAGACCTGTGAGACTAAGATTTTCATATTCTCATAAGGTATGAATTACATAAAATTTGTATTGAAAAAGTATATTATACAGTTATTATCAAGGTAAAACAATATAATTCAAACGCATAACCCTGAATTTCATTCAAACTTTTTTTACTGTACAACAGGCTTAATATTGCATTCCTTATTGAAAAATTTAAATTTAAATAAAAAAAAAAATGTTTGAATTGCACCCTCCTTCTCTCTTTTTGAAATTGAATTTAATATTTTTTTCAAACAATTCCTAAAATTGTTTTGTTTTATAAATTGACTAAAGGTGTATTTAAGTTCTGATAAATACAATATGCATAAATATCAAAACTTTAACTCGCTCTCAATAGTTCAATTTTTAAATTTCTAATTGAACTCAATAGGTGAGGGGAAGGTACTATTTATTAATTATTTTTATACAAAATAAATTGTAATTTTTCAAAAATAACTGCAGTAAAAAAAATCCAAATTAAATTTATGGTCAAGCGTTCAAAATATTTTGTTACTTTTATTGTTTAACACATTATACTTATTACTTAAAAACACACCTTTCCAGATCAAGGATTTAGCATGTGGTTATGGATTTACAGTTTATGCTGTTGATAGTAATCAATATAAACTCTTTGGCTGTGGTTTAAATACAGATTCACAGATAGGTAAAATTAAACCTATTTATATTAATAATTTTCGATATTAAAAATTAATAACCTAATATTTGGTCTTTAAACTTCATTTTTAACTAGTGAAGTTTGAAAAACTAACACCACATTTTTATAATATTATAAATTTATATTATATGAATTATCTTTGTTTAAACTATTTAAAGGAATAAAATAATAGGTAGTATAGACACACACAATGAAATAATAAGTGTTTAGCTATAAATAYATAAATAATAMAATCTTTTAGTAAATTATATAAGTTTTCATTTAAATATCTACTTTTTTAATTAAAAATAAACTGTAATGTTTTTTATAGACTAAAAGTAAATGTTAACTAACTATGTTAATATTTATTTCTATTATTTCATATAGGGTACCATGATCCACGAAAAGGATATCCTTTAGGATTGATATTAGCCACTGTACCAATTCAACTTCCTTTGAAAGAATCAAATACTAAAATAAAAGCAGTGGCGGCTGGTCGTGCACATACACTTGTATTAACAAACACAGATGGTGTATATGCTTTAGGTAGTAATTGTTATGGACAATGTGGACGAAAAATTATTGAAAATGAAGACTTTAGTAAGCTACGAAATGTGAATAATATTATATTAGACGATGGTATTTCAAAGATAATTTGTGGCCAAGATCATAGGTAAACAATTATTTTTACTGTATTATCTTGTGTTATATATCATAATAATTGTGTAAATGTATTTACTGGTTTAGTTTATTCATAACTAAAACTGGTAAAGTATATTCATGCGGATGGGGTGCTGATGGTCAAACTGGATTAGGACATTATAATAATGAATCACAGCCTACTATTGTTGGAGGAGACATTAAAGGCGAAAAAATTGTAAAAGTAGTATCTTCAGCTGATTGTGTTTTAGCTTTAAATGGTAAGTTATTTATCAAATATTTTTTGCATTCTCAAATACTATTATGATGTGTCAAAATAACAAAAATATTATTTTATGATACAGAATAAAAAAAGATAAGAAAAAAATTATGAACAAAAATTCTTTTAAGATTCATTAGTATTTAAATTTTTGATTTTTTTAAGTTTTTTTTATTGAAATGTCTATAAAAAAAATTTACTGTCMAAAAAATTTTTAAAACGTTATACAAGATTTATTATAAGTTGTAATTATCTTCGTAAAAAAAATTGTTAGTCGCCATTTTTGTTTATAAGCATTTAAAATTCAAATGTTTACAAAATATCTCAAAAATGCAAAAATTTGCATGAAATCATGAAGTTGAAAATTCATAAAATTGTGGTGATTTATACCTAAGGTTGAAAAACCCAACACAAGGTTCTTCGTAACTTTTTCTTCAAATTACTGTAAAAAAAAACTTCAGAGTCAATACAGAAAAAATTTTGTRTGGGTATAAAAATATATTATAATTTAAATATAAGTAATATAATATATCCTATAAACTCTACTATACAGCTGAAAGATATTCACTTGCTCACTTTTTATATTTTAATTTTAAAGCAAGTTATGACTTTATGAGTATTTTAAAATTGTAAAATGTTTGTGCACTTCAAAATACACATAAATTACTCTAAAAATAAAAAATAAAAAAATACTTTTGATGTTCACTAGATAATCCTGGTTTAGCGCGTATATTTAATAATAAATAAATAAATAATACTCTTATTCATAAATTTGATGATATGTCAAATCTCTCTTATAATATTAAACATAACTAAGTTAAATAGATTATCCAGAATTTCGATTTGTTATGTTATGCATTTGTAATATATACACATAATATGCAGGTGTTACATTCTTTAAATAAAATGGTATATCTTTCAATTGGATATTATTTTTTTTTTTTTTAGATCAAGGTGAGGTTTTTGGTTGGGGTAATTCAGAATATGGTCAATTACTATTAGATAGCGATAAATATCAAGTAAATACACCTAGAAAACTACCTTTGAATAAAGGTATAGGTAAAATCATTGATATTGGTGCTACTGGATCAGCTTGTATAGCACTGAATGGTAAATTTATATAATTATGTTATAAATTGCTTACATTTGATAAATTATTTTATACAGATGAAGGTGTGGTCTTTGTTTGGGGCTTTGGTATTCTGGGCAAGGGGCCTGAAATGAACCAAAGCCGTGAACCAACTCCAATACCACCAATTTTATTTGGTAGAAATCAATATAATCCTGAAACACAAGTGAAATCTGTGTATAGTAGTGTATTTCACATGGCTGCRATTACATCTGAAGGAAATCTATACACATGGGGTAAAAATAAATGGGGCCAATTAGGTCTTGGCCACACAAAAGACCAATATTTTCCTTTACAAGTAAATCATTTTTTTTGTTCAATAATATAGGATGTAACAGGAAGAATTGACAAAATTTATATGGTTAATAAATAGTTTCAAATATATGCTATATCAGGAAAATTTTAAAAATATTAATTTAAAAAAAGTTATTACTTTGATATGTTCTAAATTAATTTACTTAAAAAATATTAATGTTTAAAAAAATTCTTAAAAATCAACTAYTGACTTACATAAATGTTTTTATAAACAGACTTAGAAATTGGATATTTTTAATTAAATGTATAGTGCAAGTAACCATAAATTGTATATATAAAAAAAAATTAATAATATTGATTAGAACAAATGTTATTTCATTTGTCAGATATTCCTGTTATACCCTGTATATTAAATAGCATAATTTGGTTCAAGTTTAATTCTAAAGTTATTCTTTTAGGTTTCAGTCGGTGCTACTGTTAAACGTGTGAGTTGTGGAGTTGATCATATGGTTGCGCTATGTACACCATACCAATAAAACAAATCAAAATAATAGTTATTTATAAACTTTGATTTCTATACTAACTAGTTAATAAATATATTGCTTATGCTATTTATTTCTTTGTTGCATAATGAGTTGBAGTGATTTTTTAACGATTCATTAGAAAACTCAGATTTTATAATTTCTAATGATAAGATTAAATAATAAATATGTCAAAAAAAATATGACGTCGAATACTGAGTGTCAATTATTTGGTTTAATATCTGTTCCTTTGTACTCTGAACCAATTTCATTACAAGAACTTAAAATAATAGAAGTAAATGGTGATAAAATATTAAAACTAAAAACTAAAAAATTTACAAATATTAATTAGAAGAAACATTTATCAAATAATGCTGATAAATCTTGGGTAAATATGGACAATTATTAATAAATGAGGATAGTTATTTATAATAATGATAATGTTGCATAAATGTATCTAAAATTAATTATTAAATTTACATTGAATATGGATATTTGTGAAGTATTTTAAGTAAAATTACAAATCATATAACTATGTTATATTATTATTATAATTAATTTMATTAGTTATACAAATATAAAATAATACACGATTACATTATAATGTCATAATTATTCAAAAAATGTATCTTGTATGTTAATAGAATGGTATCTGTCTGCTGTCTATACCTAATATAAATTATTGTATTATTTGTCTTGGTAGATGAGATACTAAACTCGATTTTTGCTAGTTAGATCACATACTAAACGAATACCTGAATATGAATAATAAATGAATGATAAAAGTTTATACATATTTATTAAATATATTTTATTGATTTAATACAGCTAAAGAGTTTTAAACATCCTAGAAGGCAAAGAAAAAGTCAAGGTATAACCTAAACTAATTAGAATGTTTAGAATATATTTCATGAACATTGAAAAGTTTGAACAAATAAAACAAACATCAACAAAAGACATTGTAACAACCCATAAAGGAATATATAAAAAAAATATGATGTCTAAAAAAGAAACAAGATAAACTAATTTGTTGAAGACAATATATTTTTAAAACAATTTAAATTTAATGAAAAAATACATAATTAAATCTTCAAGTTAAAGAATGGATTTTGATAAGTATATTMATTTACATTTTTGTTTGTCATGACAAATCAAAATTTGCCCATTGCACCTACTTGTATGTTATTGTTAGCAATTAATGCATAAAACTTAAATTATAAAGTTATTTCAAACATCTGAATATTATATTTGAGTAACTTAAAATTTATTTTTTTCATTCAGTGTGTAAACAAAGAAATTTTTGGTGAAAGAACTAATATTGAAAATATTATAGTTAAGCTGCCAATCAAATTGTTCAAACATTTAGTTCTGTACCGAAGCCAAAAATATTATGTGGGAGCGATACCTATATAAAATAAATTTATTTGGAATGAGCCACTTTCCCAAGTACTAAATATTATATCTTAAATCGAGTTCCTATCTTTTATAAATGATGAATTCTTTTTTTACAAATAGTAGATATTTTTTTGATAAAGTAACTAAAGAAAAAAATCGTTGCAAGCTGCGAGAATTAGCCAACGTGCCACCTTCAGCACTCATGTCAATAGTGCCATTATAGGTTGCTACCCTACTGTTTAACATATTTATGGTTCAATTTTTATTACTGATGAAGTAATACTAAGTTATTTTTTAGACATGTTCACCCCAATTTAGATTCTGAGTGAAGTGATGAATGAATTTATTTCACAATAAAGGGTGAATTTAGGAAGTTGATTTAGTTGGTACGTACTGGCCACTGTTGACTATTGAGGGTCAAAAGTAAGAAATTCTTAGTAATTTTCAAATACTTCGAAAAAAAATAGAAGTTTTTTAACTCAAAAATAGATAATTTTCGATATTGTAAATTTTCATGAAATATTTCTACATTAATTTTCCATTAATGATACAATTTTCAAAATATTTCGCTCTTTTTTTTTTAGCTATTTATGTAGGATTATAACCATGAGATTTTTTTTCGATTTTCTCTTATAATTTTTGTTACTATCGATAAATAATAAATTTTTTGTTCAATCGAAAATCGAAAAATGTTATACAAAATTCCTATTTCATGTTTTAGTATAATGAAAAAAAATCAAACACAAATCCTATTTCAGTTTGTTTTTAAATTATAGTTGAAAAGTAGTTTTTAGTTGGGTCAGTTTGAAAATATGTTACATAAATTGTTAAAATATCAACAAAAAAACACAAGATTTATTTAATTATCATTTAAAGTTAAATTTTTGACAAAGTACAATAAAATAATTTTGTGAGAACATATTTAATTTCTTTAAAGTATACTTTATTATATAATATASACAATGACATTTTAAAATGCAATTTTTAGGCAACAAAAGAATTCAACTTTTTTATATTAAATAACTTAGTGACTAAGTAATACATTATTAGCATTCATTACAAACACACAACATGATTTACATCAGATTGGTACCCACTTTTCCACCTTTTTTTATACGATTAATGATTCTAATTATTCGCTTATGTATATTTAAACATGTGTTAATAAAAAATAATAATGCTTCAGTACCATCATTTGGAATTGATTCTAGGGTGGGATATAACCCCCACACAATCATTAAATTTCCTAGACATTCCCCCCTCGCCATAATTATGCCACTGTAGTATCTACATAGTGCATACCTATAAAATAATCATAAAAATAAATTAATGTTTTTCTTTGACTATTATTCTTGGATTTTTCATCAGACTTTTAGCAGAATACAAATAAGACAATAAAAGTTTAAAATGTTTTGAGGAAAAATTAGGATATTCCTAAAAATAAAGGCTAACACCATTCCATCAAATAAAATGTCTTATAAATATTTATTTTTTATTTTTTTTGTATTTACGTATTATATAATKGTTTGTATAATCATTTGAATAAAATTATATAAACTTATCAAGCATTTTCACAAATGTATACATGTACCCTTTTTAACCTGAATATTTAAACATGATTATCATACATTTTTAGGAAAATCTATTAAATCAGTCCCACAAAAAAAAATTAAATTTTGAGTCAATACAAATGTCTGGGTTCAGTTATTATTAGTGGCAAGGCATAAATTCAGTCAGAAAATATAATACTAAAAATTTAACTACAATTGATTTAGAACCATATTTTATTTACTTTTAGAAAAATAAAATTACTAATAACCTATATAAATATCTCAATATTTATTAAATGTCAAGTTATTAGACATGTATTCTCCTATATTACATAAATACTAAATGACACAATTAAAAAATATACAGAATATAATTTCATTTTAAATTATTCATTATAAGTAATAATTAATCATCTAAAATTCTTGATTACCATATGCAGAAATCATAATTGATGTTATACCTTCAGGTGTCTCATTTTTGGTTTTGAAGCTTCCTAAAATCAATGCTATTTTAGCAGCTAAAAAATGTTTGCAACACAATGCTTTATCTTTTAAAACTTGATGTTTGAAATAATTACATGTGCAAAAGTTAGCTGTTTCCATTATAGTATAAATATCACCTCTTGAACCAACTATTTGAAGTATGCATCGTTGGTGACTTTTAATTAAAAACACACTACCATCATCAATTAATTCTAGAGCATGTTCAGTCAATGTTGAACCAAAAACTGAGTTCAAGCTTAATAATAGTTCTTCAATACTAGATCGTTGTTCATAATCTTTTCTTAAATTATCCAATACTTCGTGGACTATAGCAGGTAGTAGCCTACTAGTCATTTAAATGTATTCTGTAATAATATTTAACAATTTGTTTATAATTAGTTCATTAATAAAACAAGATTTCACGAGACTGAGTTACCAAATATTATAGCACAATAAATAAAAATATTATCTCATGAATAAATTAATAATTAAAAATTATTCTAAACAAAACAATGTGTATTTTTTTAAGTTTTTAAAAATTTATAATTCAGGTGGACAACAATATCACAAAAATTAAATTCATCGCTGTTAATAAAGTCTGCAATTAWTACGTTTACACCATGCTCATAACCTATTTTTTGATTATTTATCCATTTAGGTATTGCAATATTTAATGAACGACAACAACATTGAAGATTTAAATAAAAATATCTCATTATAAACTTTACATCTGGAGTAAATAGACACTGAGTTACATATCCTGCATTTGGTTTTCTTTGTTTGAGACCACAATCTAAAAATGTTATTAATTTTTTATAAGATGTGGTTTGGGGCCAGGGTGTTGGCCAATGTGAAGATGGCCAAAATAATATATCATCTTGGGAATGTCTATAAATAATAACTACCTGCAAATAATAATAGAAATTTAATTTAGAAATTTTCATTTATATACAATTGTATTAATATCTTAAGAAAAAATTGAAATTGAAATTTTACAAGTAACATTTATTTGAATTACTTAACAAGTTTAACAAAAAAAGTGATATGATGAGCATACTATATAAACTTTTTTATATTATTATATTATAGTATTTTAATATATTTTAAGCACTAAATAATAAGTATGAATTTTAATTGATAATATCTATTATATTACCTGCCAATTATTTGCTCTCATTGTATTTAAGTTAAGCATCTCAATTGGATATAAATAAGGACAAATCATACTATTGAATAGTAATTTCAAAACTGACAATAATCGATTGTGGTCTGCTTCTGAGAAATTGAAAAAATGTTGAAAATCTAATATGAGAATCTCTTTGGTATGTGTCACCAAAAATTCTTTTATATTCGCCAATTCCTTTATAACTGGATCACCATAAAGTGCATGAACTGTGTAAAAATTAGTATCATTTGGTTTAGTTGCCATCCTCAAATCAAAATACCTGGAGAACAATTATAAAAATATTTTTAGCCACGATTTTAGACTACAAATAAAATATATTATTTATTTTATATTTCTAATTAAATTAAATGTTATATCCACTGAAAAATATATGGCTAATAYAATATAAACATCTTATGTAAAAAAAAATTAATTTTGACACAATCAATTATTGGTCAATTCAGAATTATTTTTATTTTAAAGTGTTTCTGACATACAAGGTCATCAAACTTATTGATTTAATAAAAATTTTTAACATCATGAAGTTGTTAAGCGTAAATTAATTACAATATATTATACAGTAAATTAGGTCAATTCAGAAGTCAAGTATAATAATTTTTATCGAACATCGTAGTATCTAAAATGGTACTACTAACCAACTGAAGTAAGTTAAAAATCAAAACAAAATTAATATTTAAATTACCTTATTCCAAGATGTAGTTGAGTTTGAATATTACATTTCTGAGTAATAGACCATTTGTAGACAAATCGTCGCATGACAGGTCCTAACAGGCCGTTTAAATATTTTACAAGTCTTGATGCATCTGGCCCTAATTTGCTATGAGGTGTGATGGTGTACGAAAATGAATCGTGAGATCCTAAGACGTAGTTTATCAGTTTATATATACATACAAAATGTTTTAACAAATMCTTATGGTAATAATTTATAAGGCACACTATTATGGGTTTCTCAGTCTCTTAACTTTATACACATTAATTACCACAAAAAGTTATTAATTTAAAATAATACCTGGAATTGCTAATTGTGTAATTGGAATAAATGTAAGCGGTGTTGGTAGTTCTGATACCCAATACTCTTGATTTAACTTCATTTCTAAAACAAAATATAAAATACATTTAACTTTAAATAACCTAAGTAATACATTTTAGGAGAAATAATAGTTATTATTAATGAATATGACACATTGAGTTATATTTATGAGTTGAGAAAAAAAAATTCAAAACATTTTTTGAGAAGTATGTAGATCACATATTAATATATAACCTATTAAGTAAGCAATTAAAATATGTATGTTAGATAAAATGCTATAGAAAATAATTTCAACACATACAAAATGTTGAAAAATTACTAATRCATATTAAATAAATATTCAGTCTATTTTTTATAAAGATTATTGATTAACACCTACCTCATATATTAACATCTATATAATTTGCAAATAATATTTAACCTAACCACACAGTATCTGAGACAGTATGGATTGTACGATGGTGCAATTCATACAAATATTGTTACTTCAATGAAAATAAACTCAAGAATAATTGACAATGGACTGTGACAAAAAATCATAACCTTCTTAGTAAATAATAATAAAACCAGGATGTGACATGTGACATATAAATTGATAAGTATTATTCTCTATAGTCTATAATACTATATTACTATATTTATGGGCATATGGGTAATAACTAGCCATAGAAGGGGAAACTGTCAAGAGTTAAATAGTCACGATTATACAATATAAACGATCGACATACTGTACTAGATTTACAAACTAGTAACTACTTTCTACGGTCTATGGTAAACAATTTAAGATTTAATAATTCTTACTTTAATAATTATATTATACACAATCTGTAATATTACAATCACAAACATGATTGAATCCAGATACATTATTACGATTATTACAAATTTACAATTCGTGAGATAAAGACGTCACCAACTACCGAACACWGAGATTTTAAATTTGAATTTAAGAAAATAATTAATAACAAAAAATAATTTTGGAAATAGGAAATATATAATATGATGAAAGTCGTCCAACAGCCGAATACTTAACTACTAGCTAATGTCTGAATAGATTATAGCATTAATTTAATAGCAGAGCAGCATAGACAATATTGATATTTAAGTACCTATTGAATAACGAGTAACAACTATAACAAGAACAACTGTTAACTATAGCCACAGATATATAAAATAAATTGTTATATACCAATATTCCTATTTGCACAGATAATATAATCTGTGGCTATAGTAGAAACTGATAGGCAATAAGATTAAAAAAAATTCCCGCCACGAACTAAGATAAGTATAATAGCTTATATAGTCCGTAATCCCGCCAATGCAAAACTACCTATACAGAATACAAGGTGTAACATATTATAGAACTGACTTTTGGAATAACTTTTGTTTAAATTAATATTTTTTTATTAATCTTTTTTTGTCTATTAGTGATACTAGCGCTACGTG